AAGTCCCCTCTGATGAGTTGCGGGCGAAACGCGTGTCAGGGGCACTCAGGGACTTAGAGATATTTCGACTTTTACCACTCTTTTTACTGTTATAAACTTTAAGCTAGAATCTCTACCGCGGTCCCTGAGCACATTTGCCGTCCATGTATTCTATAGCAATTTTGGTTTACATTATTAGGTTATATGAGAATTCAAAGTATACTTTTCTTTTCATAAGTTAAATATTTAGATTGTGTATTCCTCTATTGCTATTACGGCTTAGTTTCTCTCCACAGAGGCAGTTACATTCAGCTTCCCTTTTTTCCACATTCTATAATTTATATTTGCAGTCTCAGATATTGGCTCCAATACTTTATTCTAAATATTCAAATTCTGTAGAATCAAAAAGGCAAGATTAATTTTTTAGCACTGCTAGCTGTTCAAAACTGTTACATTATTTCTTACTCACGATCATTTTTTTTTGTTTTCTATCATTACTTACTTTGTAGCATTTTTCACAGCAAACAGTACTATTCCTGTTCTCTGGAGATTGCAAAACTTGGTTTTGGCAATTTATTTTGGCATTGGATTTCTGAAAACTTTAGAACAGAACCTCCCAATTATATTATTAGAAGTTTTTAAGTTTAGAGTCATTACATATTATATATTATTTTTTATATATATATTTCTTCTCTGGTCTCTTGCCGTCACTATAGTATTTCTTGGGCAGTTTCCATTAGAGAGAAATATTACATATTGTATTATAGGATTATCTTCTATACTGACTCTCAATGACATAGAATTTCGTTATTGGATATTTATCCCTACACACTCACCGTTTTTAATGTATTCATTAAAAGTTATATTTTATCGTTAGGTCACTCTTCTTTCTCTTCTCTTGGTTCTATAAAGAGAACTATCATGAAATAACTTTTCCTGTAGCATACAGTAAAATGGGATTTTGTGATTACAATAACACATAAGTTAAATTGAATATATAAAATATGTACAGATCGTATTAGACATATTAGTTCAGTAGACAAGATGCCAAAATATTTGAATATATTCAAAGTAGTATATGTATTGGTAGTATCTATTTGACTGTGCAATTATGTTGTTTTTTTTATTGGACTAAGATAATATTTAAAAGACACAGATGTTTCTAATCTAACTGTGTTTCTTTCAGCTCAATGGCACCATCAGATTCCGCAATCAATCAAAAAAATCAGATCTTCTGGTACCCGTTATTCCACTTTCTCCAATCCCACCTCAGATTTCCTAAGCAGTTCCACTTTAGCGGAAGCATTTCATGGTTTCTCGTCAGCACGGGATGTGGTTGAAAGTGATGAGCTGTGAAATCAGTTGGCTACAGTAAAACGAAAACTGTGAAGAAAAAATAGCCGGAAAGTTTACAAATTGCCCTATTTTTTATTTTATTTTAAAGAGAACAAATGATCAAAAAAAAGCAAAACAAAAGAGAACTGTACGGTTTCCGTTATATTTTTCCTTATTAACCCTTTTATCCACCGACTTGTAGTATGTTTCACACTTTTACATCATAGGGGCTTGTTGTTCGTTGCTATCTACAAAGCGACAGAAATGGTTAAATAGATTTGCCATTAATTTTGCCTGTAACTCCAGTGATATGCACCATGGCGGGTAGCTGTGTCACTGACAAAACTGGCAGTGTGATATGTTTGATAACTGTGTTTACCCTATTTAATATTTATGTTCACATGCAGAATTCTAAAAGTCAACTATAGATATTATATTAAAATATGTATTATTTTTATGTACCAGATTCATTGTTCTGTAGTGATGCTTACACTGTAGATGCTTCAAAGGCAATTGTGACACCTCCTGGTATTTAAATCCTGGAAGCTTGTCTATGTGAATTGATAATTGAGTTGTATCATCAAATAAAATGGCAACATAGTGCATATATTTTAGACTCCATTTCTATGTATTGTTATTAGGATTCAGTTTTATTTTTCATAAAGTTCCAGATCTAATAATGGATGTTGTCGGTACGTAGATGTAGTTTTCTTAACACTTATTTCTCCTGATACTTGGATGGGGAAGTAAAAAAAAAAAAAAAGAAAATACAAAGCCATACATGTGTGAAATTATTAACTTTTATGTCTAAAGAAGAGTGAATATTTATAAAGATAGACCATGTTTTATCTTTATTCTATATTTTCTATTAAAATGTTAATCCGCACTATCTACTCCAAAAACACAGATATTTATTCATGAAGAAACTGTTGGTAATCCGTTCATGAGTAATGCTAAATTTAAGATAAGTGAATGAGACGTCTTTATCTCTGAGATTTATACCTAAATTGTATGGGTTTCTTCAGATCTCTCGGTGATCATTTAGCTCACTCCTAAACAGTCACTATCAGTCAAAAACATGCGTTGTGTCTGATAACCTGGTACCTTTTCAGACACCCTAATCTTAGTTGTATTATTTTCGATATCAAACTAGAAATGGCAAGCTAATCACTATTGACTGATGATTGCATATCAGGACTGAACACTGGCAAGGCATTCCTATAACAGACAGAGGTTTGCATTTTGTGTAACCCTGGTTTGGGACACTCTATTATCCAAATTCAGATAATAGAGAAAATCACTTGCCGAGGCTATGCGAAAGGGTTTGGGATTATGCTTTCTCAAAACAACTATTTAATTATTGGGTCAATAAAGGTAATTAATCTCAAACCCTTTCACGCAGCTTATTGTCTTATAGACAAGATCTAGTTTTGTGATTTTACATTTACCGAAACTACAGTATATAAGTTATTGAGGATAAACTCTTAAGTGCAGGACTACTACTGGAGTTTATCAAATAATGTAAAACTATGGTATTTAGAACAACAGTTGGGTTTATACCCCTGTGGAATATTAAGATAAACCATTAGCAGAAGTAAGGATGGAGATATATATACAGGATTATTCACTAAGTGATAATTCAAATTAAATTCAAATAGAATTTCAAATTTAGTGCAAGAGTAGCCTAACTGAAGGCATAGCGGACTTGGAGATTTTTCCCATTTCTGCTATTTTGACCTTGAATTTCAAATTCACTTTGAATTTATTGAATAACCAGAATAGTGCACAGTGTAATCCATTTTCTAATAACCTGCTTATATGCAAATAACTTGGGCCTCAATTTAATATTGTTGGACAAGTTTTATAAATAATTTAATATTTTGGGATAAACAATTTCAATACTTTTTTAGACTTTTTACGTTTTCAAAACATATAATATCTATGTGAAAAATCAATATAGCAAAAGATTTTAAAAAATATATATATATATATATATTTCATAATATTAAATAATTGTAAAAGTTTTTATCCAAACATAATAAGTCATTTGGAAAGCGTATCCAACAATATCAAATTGAGGCCCTGGTCAGACCGAATGCAGTCATATCACAGTTCACCTTTAATATATTTAAGACTTGTGCTATGGAATATGCTTTGTGATGTGAGTGTGGTTTTAATGTACAAGGGAAGCTGTGGGTTACAGGAAGTATTGTTAATACAGCACAGAGGTGGCACAGACCACCGTTTTCTTTCTGCAATTCTCTAAACTAGGAATTGTTGAAAATATAGAAACCAATCAAAAACCAAAGACGAAAAAAAAAATGCAAATCGGGGGAAATAGTAGTTTTAGAATTTTTTCAATATTGCTAATTTGGTGTAAAATTAGCAGTTATCTGGTCAATTCATCACAGTTTCTCTCTCTTTTTTTATGAATACAGTCTTGTTTCCTTTTAAGTAAAATTGTACTAACATAAGTTTGGCAATAATTCAAAGTTCTTTTAATACGCAGGATTATACAGTAAAGCCCGAATGCCCTCGGTTTGGATTGGCAAAAATAACCCAGTACCATCAAGACTGTAAAATCTGCAGGATTATTCACTTAAATGTGAATTTCACATATTAGGCCACCATAATTAAACTGAAAACATGGCTGCATTGGAGAACGTTTCCAGTCTGACTGTTTGGGTCTAAAATTTGAAATTCTTTTAAAATTTCCAGCAAATCACACTTTATTGAATAACCTTCCAGCTTCTGTTCTGGGTGCATTTGAATTATGGAAATATGCAACTGAATGTTCAGTTTTGGCACATAAGTCACCCCTTTCTCTATTTAAATCACCAAACCACTGTACAATACATTCAACTACACAAAATAAGAGACATACCATATGTATAGAGAAAAATAAACAACAATTAATAGATATCGGAATGAGAAAAGTATTTTTATTTAAAACTAAATCACAATGTTTTATTCTGAAAATATGTTAAAGTAATTTACAGGTTAAAATAACAAATTAACTTCTACTAAAAAAACAGTGTTACATAAACTTATATCATGGTAAATGTAATGTATTAGTCCAGTTTATTGAGTAAAAAAAAGTGGACTGTATGATATTAGGCATGAATTGAGCTTATTTAACCAGTTCTAGCATTGCAACTGTCATGCTTACAGCTCCCATCATCCTCAGTGAATCAAAGGATGATGGGTGTATGATTAGTTAGTAAATTTAATGAGTACATGTATATATGCCTGCTGATAAGCATTAAACACCTTTCTCAAAATAATTATAATAATAATAATAATTTAAAACCAGAGATTTTACTAAAAACAAGTTTAGAAAATGACTGAACTGATCATTTTCCCAACTATAGAATTATTTTTCTACATTGTAAATCTTTAACTCACATGAAGTCCCTATAAAATTAATAAATCCCTCAATTCATGTATAAGTAAGGTGCTGTGACCCTCCCCGCCCCCCTTTCTTTAAATAATCTGCAAAAATATTTGTACTGTTATAATGGATTATAAATTGTAGCTACTCCTGTACTCTATATGAATATCATTATCATATGATCAATCTATATATATATATATATACATTTAGTGCATATATGGTCACTTCTCAAATAGAGGACCAAGACTGTTTCCAATATGAAAAGTATAAATTTTCATCATTACAAGAGTTCCAGAGCAGAGAAAAATGTTAGACACTTGCATGCTTTGTTATCATGTAGAATGTGAAGGTTTCAGTCCTTATATACTCCTTGATACAAAATATCAGCTTAGTCACAACATCACCATGTAATCCTATCAATGTTACCTCCTTTGCTGTTTGTATCATCTGATATATTGCTCTATGTCTAAATCATCAAAAGGACTAATGGGAAAAAGAATTTGGGATTCTGTTGTCACAGACACGTGGAGATCTGAGGTCCAGGTGATTCTCACACTGTTCTTCTTGGAAATGTTCACAGTGATGAAGGTTTGTCCATTCTCCGTCATTCCTGTATCTTTGAGCTTCTGTAAGAATCCTGTCCAGTGCCATAATATAGCTCAGAGCCATCTGCAGAGTCTCATATTTGGAAAGCTTCTTGTCTTCTCCCCACTGGGGTACCACTTTCCTTAGACTGTCAAAAGCAGTGTTAAGTCCTTGCATCCTTCTCCTCTCCCTGGCATTTGCAGCAAGTCTTCTCTTGGTGGACCCTTCCACCCTGCCAGGCAAACACCTGAGTGAACATCTTTCCATTAGCTGGTCTTCCCCCTGGAACTCAGAAGCAGAAGAATCATCATCATGAACTGATGTATCTGACTTCATCTCTAAAGAGTCCACTTTTATTTGAGAGTCCTCACAGCAGAAACTCTATTAAGAGGACACAAGTCTTGAAGAAGAAAACAAAAATCAATAAATCTCAGATTCTCTTGATGAAACTCAGTGCTTGCTTACTCCATAATGGCGATATTATTTCACAAAAAAGAAATACAATGTTTTAAAATTTTTAAATGCATTGCCCCAATGAGTTCAGTTCTTTCCAGATCCTTGTAGCAAGCACCTTCTTTGATAAGTGCACTGTCCCTTATGAAGATCCTCTATTTATGTAAGTGGGGATTATAAAGTCTTAGCAGATGGTAGCAGGTGTGCAGGCGTCCCAAAACTAGCATACCAGCCCATCCCCACCCTGGGAGCTATATGCTGGGAAATCAGCTATTTTGCTAATGTACAGCATGTATCTGGTGTTAGCGTTTAGCTGAGGCTGTTCAGGCAGTTCTGTGCCATCTGTACACCTCTATCTGTCCGAAATCTCATTAATAAATCAATTAGCAACTCACATGGTATGTTTACTGTATAGATCACTGCCGATCACTAGTCTTTACATTGCTTCCTGAATGTGAAGTTTGTTTTTTTAATGTAAAAGTGATTTCAGAATTTAAGGAATGATTTGTATCTTTATGTGACGATGGCACTAATCCTTTGTGTTCTCATGGAAGAGAATACAATGAGGTCAGTAGATTAATATTTAAATACATATACTGTGTAAGAAGGATGCATAATCATGTGCAAAATGGCTATACATTGGAGATAAAAGTTAAGAAATATTAAATTGATTAGTAGTATTGTGGGGGTGCACAGTGAATAAACAAATGATAAATAAAAATACAGAAATGAACTAACAAGAATAAATCTTTCTCTGTGTCAGTTAGCAGCCATGAGAAGACTGTTTGGGCTCTCTTCCCCAAACACTGAATTCTAGTGAATTAAAAACTAAATTGCAAATATAGGAATCAGCAGGAGATTTGGAATTTTAAGGGTAAGACCAAAGCAGTGGAACTGGAAATATCCTCCAAATCAGCTATTTGCCAGTTCATCTACTTTGACCTTAAATTTGAATGTTTATTTGAGTTTACTTTGGATTCCTGACAATTATCACTGTAGTAAAAACCCTGTAAATGTTGTGTACTCCACCCCTCCACCACCATGTGCCCCAAGAGCCTATTGATTGGAGGAGAGTCTCTTGGATAATTAAGCAGTAAGTATTAAGTAATGCATCTTGCATGCTAAACTTTACTAAGGACCCACTTATATTAGTTTACTCTGAGTAAGGAGGGTGACATAGTATGGGCTATGACTTAAAGCCCTCCAGATGTTTTGGAGTACATCTCCTATAATGCCCTTAGAGCCATAATGCTAGCAAAGCATCAAGGGAGATGTAGTCCATAACATCTGGAGGGCCGAAGGTCCTCCACCCCTGACTTAAAGGGATACTACAGCCACCCAAATAATACAGCTTATTGTATTTGTTCTGGTGAGTAGAATCATTACGTTCAGGCCTTTTGCTGTAAACACTATCTTTTTAAAGAAAATGCAGTGTTTACATTACAGCTTAGTGATAACTCCACTGGCCACTCCTCAGATGGCTGCTGGAGGTGTTTCAGTGTCTCCACCCTCTGCATGGAGTCACTGAACTTTTCTCATAGAGATGCATTGATTCAATGCATCTCTATGAGGAGATGCTGATTGGCCAGGGTTGTGTTTGACTTTTGTTGGCTCTGCCCCTGATCTGCCTCGTTGACAGTCTCAGCCAATCCTATGGGGAAGCATTGTGATTGGCTCAGACCACCACTTCTGATGATGTCAGCCAAGAAGGCAGATCAGAGGCAGCAACTGCAGACTTTAACACAAGTAAGGTCTTACTATATTTAGAGAGGCCAGGCGGGTGGGGAGGGGAGGAGCAACTAGATGGTGGTTTTAACACTACAGGGTCAGGAATATATGTTTGTGTTTCTGACCCTATAGTGTTCCTTTAACTACCTCCCCAGATGTTTGATTGACATTGTTGACTTTATGGATCCTGAAAGCAACTTAAACTGTTTATGTTTTATATGTGCTGATAACTGTGTATTTTATATTAATTGAGGTTGTTTCATCTGCACCCCTATTAAAGCTGCACTGTCACCGTCTAGGGACTTTGACAAATTTACACAGACCCCCCCAACGGTGACATTGTTGCTGGTGATTTGGTAGCCGGGATGGACAGGTAAGAGTGAAATTTAGTTACCTGAACCTGTCCCTCACAGGTGCGGCCATCTTAATAAGAAGGTTCGCTTCAGCTCCTGTCGCTGAATGAGTGGCACTCCCGTGCATGCGCAAAAAGACAGCATTTAGATCTGGAGGATCACTCTGGTTATGGATCAAGATTCATACTTAGACTCCGCCCTGAGTCTTAGAAAGTCAGGAGGAGGAGAAATACAGAAACAAAGTAATCCCAACTTTGTCTCAGTATATCTTTGGACTGGGTTGGAATTTCAGTGAAGTAAACCTCTTCTACATAATCTCATTCAAGTTTAAACATAGGTTTGTTCATTGGGAACAGCTATGGTTGGCTCAGCCACAGTAAAAAAAAAGGGCGCAAAATCTACATAACTCTACATAACAGTATTTTATTAAAGTAAATTGAAAATAGAAAATAAATTGAAAATAAATAAATTGAAAATAACAGAAGCTAACAGTATTTTATTAAAGTAAATTGAAATTAACAGAAAACTTGGTGGCGTATTAATACTATTTGAAATGCTGTAAAATTAAGAAGAATATTGCAAATTTTACACCAAAATTGCCGAATTAGAGTAAATTTTACATCTTGTATGATTATTCACTAAACTCTTCAGTGAATTAAAATCCAAATGCCAAAACTGAATTGAAATTTGGTATATACTATGACATAATTCTGATTTAAGTGAATACATCTGTACGCTATTTTTCCAGTTTACATTAAATTAGCCTCATTAAATTAGCCTGCAAACATATGATGACATCTATGGCAGGAAGACTCATAGATTACAAAGTGCTACCAATTCGCTACTAGGTTTGTCCAGTATTTGAATTTGCTTTCTAGAAGGGTGACCTGTGTTCAGATCCACTATAATCCAGGCATAGGCAACCTTCGGCATTCCAGCTGTTTTGGACTACACCTCCCATGATGCTTTGCCAACATTATAGGTGTAATGGGAGATGTAGTCCACAACATCTGGAGTGCCGAAGGTTGCCTATCCTTGACCTAGTAGATTGTGAATGAGTCTGTAAATCAGCAGTCCCGGCTTCCAGAGCATTTCCTGTCCGTATGATACATAGCTCTCCTATGCCCACAGCCTCAAAAGCACTGTTCCAAAGAAGAGGGGATACAAGCAAGTCTGCTTGGAAGACAGAAGCTTACAACAATCTTGCATGTATTTTCCTGCTACAGAATATTTAGTGGCGAGTAGATCAATTATTGAATAAGATTTTTTTGTATTTTGGGGATATTGGTTCTCCTAAGGCCCATTTCCAAGCATCCATGTAAGAAAAATTAGTGAGACAAGTGTGTGCAGTAAGTAATTGGTTGAGAGTGGAGCTAGATCCAAGGGGGTGAGTTTCTATAAGGGATACTAATGAGTTTTAGCAAAATTGCTGTTAGACTTTTTGCTTTTGGCAAGTTTAGCTCTAACTCTAATGATTTGAATGCAGTGAAAGGCCAAATTAGCCTACATTTTAACCCCTTAATGACCAAACTTCGGCAATAAAAGGGAATCATGACATGTCACAAATGTCATGTGTCCTCAAGCGGTTAAATAATTATATTGTCCGTTCTCCACCATCTTCAGTTTAGTGAATGATCCCCAGTAAGTAGGATCCTTGTACAGATGTTAGCCCCTGTATTTCATCACAAGCTGTCTATTTATGCATTCTAGCGGTCTATTCATTAAACCATGAATTTATTAATCTCATCTAGATCACTTCAAATTTTAGTAAGATATTGCAATGTAATGAAAAACGTTCTCCAGATCTCCTGGTTTTCTAGTCCGGATATTTTGTAATTCACTATTTAGTTCCCAGTGATTTGCATTTTAATGAATAGACTATTATGTACAATTAAATCACCTTCAGGGGTCTTTGCATAGTTTAAAAATAAAGTTTGAATGCTGGCTCATAGTTACCTTCTGTGGGTGTAGACCACTTGCCCCTTGGTCTTTGCTCTGGCTCTTTTTTCGGTGAGACACAGCATTGCTACGGTAACCTACAGAAACACTCTGACTCTCCACGAAACATGAGAGCAGGATGACAGGTTAGCTGTGATGTCTGCACCTGCTGGAGGTGCAGACCGCAGGCTCCCTGGAGCACTCTGGGATAGCTAGGGAGATTCTCTGAAATGCCTAAATGCCTACCCCTGGTATATATGTTATATATTAGATAATTATTTTTAGTAGTGAAATAAACTTAATTTATAGAAAGTAAGTGTATTCCCAATATATCCATTTATATTCAACAAAAGTTAGTTGTTCCAAAATGATAAGTTTACATACTTACAAAGCATTGTTACCCCCTTTTTTATAATCTGTGGTTTTATCTTCGGCGACTTTTTGATTTAATTGAGACATCAGAACAATTGTTAGCGAATGTGACTCTGAAATGTTGGGCTTTAGTAAACAGATCATTACCCCAGAGAAGCCAGGACATGTGAA